CAGAAGGTGAATATAGGAATGAGTAAGGTGATGAGGATAACAAAACAATTAGGTAACAAAAGACTGGATATCAGGTTGGAGGGAGCGAGTATGGAGATGAATGTATTCAGATATTTAGGAGTAGACATGTCAGCAGATGGGTCTATGAAAGATAAGGTGAATCATAGAAGTGACGAGGGGGAAAAAGGTGAGTGGTGCACTGAGAAAATTTTGTGCAGACAAAGAACTTTGTCCATGGAAGCAAAGAAGGGAATGTATGAGAGTACAGTTATACCAATGCTCTTATATGGGTGTGAAGCATGGGTGGTGAATGGTGCAACAAGGAGAAGGCTGGAGGCAGTAGAGATGTCATGTCTGAGGGCAATGTGTAGTGTGAATATAACTCAGAGAATTCATAGTTTAGAGATTAGGAGGAGGTGCAGGATTACCAAAACTATTATCCAAGGGGGCTGAGGAGGGGGTTTTGAGGTGGTTCGGCCCATTTGGGAGAAGGTGGAAAAAAATGAGAATGTTTTTGAGAGTTTATAAAAATTTGTAGTGGGAGAGAAGCTGGGAAGATTTGGGCCTGGGAAAAGGGTTTGGAGGGAGGGGGTAAAGGGAGGTTTTGAGTGTGGGGGGATTGGATTTCCCCAGCAAGCAAAAGAAAAACCTGTAGAAAGGAGCAAATGGGGACAAATGCTTTTTAGGACTTGACATGCTGTTGGAGTGTGAGCAGGGTAATGTTTATGAAGGGATTCAGGGAAACTGGCAGCTAGACTTAGAGTCCTGGAGATGAGAAGTACAGTGCCTGCATCTGAAGGAGGGGTGTTAATGCTGCAGTTTTATAACTGTAGTGTAAGTGCACCTTTGGTAAGACAGTGATGGAGTGAATGATAGGTGCAAGTTTTTTTTTCGGGACCACTAGACTACCTGGTGGGAATGGCTAATACATAATAAAATAAAAAATAATTTAAATCAAATTTCCTACATCAGTTATGTATTTAACTTTTGTCAAATAACTTCAAGATTTTTAATTCCAAAATACAGTGATAGTTCCCTACACTAACCCACCCTGTATTGGAATTCCAAAAATCAGTACCATTTATTGTATTATTTTGGCTCAGAAATATTAAACCAGTAAAAATTTATCCAGATCAAATATTCCTATTTTCCAGACCAAATATTTCCTATAAAGTGAATGCTAAAAAGAAGAATTCTAATTCTTTTGGGGATCAATAAAGATAAATTATGCCTCAAATAACAAAAGTGAGAAAAAATCATGTAAATAATTGGCTTAGTAAACAACAAGTTGATAAATGAGACGCTTGTGCAGCATTTGGGGTCTCTTTCTTCTGGAATCGTTTTGCTAGTCAAGTGGTCTCTTCAGTCCAATACAGAGAAAGGTAATGTTAGTGATGATAATGATAATGTTTATTTCAGCATGATACAATGTTTGTACAAAGAAGAATGACATGTGGGCGTACATGCTGAAAGTCCCTACATATGCAGAGCATTTCGGGCAAACCTAAGACTAATATTAAGATTAACAAGGCAATAAGACTAAAGTGTAAATTTAGAAGTTTACAATGAATACAAGAGAATTGAATATTCTTTTAGTTCATGCTATATGGCTTTTAACAGGTAGAAGATGAGGAGGACTGAAGAAACAACTGGCTGTGAAACTTTTACAGAATAAGGATACCTAGTGTCTTTATTAGAAAAAAAAATTAATTAATTAATTATATTAATTCTTATATAGAGTATTTAATCTGTAAAAGAGGATAATGTCATATTTCCTCATACATGGCTGCAATACCATTAACATTAATTTAAAAGAAGCAAATCAAAGGAAACAGCTTAACCCTTTCACTGTCTCTACGTAGATCTAAGTTACTGATGACATCATCATTCACATAAATCTACGTTTTAACGCACAGCGCCCTGAAATATGCTATGAGCAGTAAATTTTGGCATAGACATGAAAGAATGGTTTTGTCCAGTGAGTGTACATGGTATAAAAAAAAAATGCTGCCCCATGCAGTGCATGATGGGAAAAGCAAACCTTTGACCATGTGTTTGGTTTAAAATAGTAACAGAGACAGATTTTTTTTTTTTAGGATATTTTTATGAATTTAGTAGTTGTTTCCTGGTATTAACTGATAAAACTGAAGACATACAAGTAGCTTAAAATTGGGATCAATGTAGTTGAAATATTAAATTTTTGACAACTTTCCCAAAGGCGTGTAAGGTCCCGTTACCCACCCACAGTCTGCTTTATGGGTTTTTCCTAGGTTTGCTTTAAGTGATGTAACACCCTCAACCACAACCAATCATTCCTGGTTACATTTTATTATCTGAGAAATAGGGTAAAAGTTCAGTTTTTATGATGATGAATTCAAAATGGAGGGTAAATGTAATACAGATGAGGTTTGGGGATATGATTAATGAACAGAGGGAATGTTGCTTTAGTGGTTGGAATGCCTACAGTGTTTATTTTGGACTCAAAATTCGAGTTTTTTAAATATGTGTAAAATTGGCCAAATTACTAACTGTGCACTTTATAAGTTAACTATCATAGTTGAATGGGCAGTTTCTTGTGCTCAGTGGATAGAACAGAAGACATATTAGGTCAAGCTGAGCAATGTCACTTTCTTAAAACAGGACTCAAAGTGGGCAAAACCGCCAATGCGTAAATTACTCCCAGGCCGCCAACTTTGGGCCTACATAATTCCTTAAATTTTCCATTAAATTTTGTATTTTTGGGTCAATGCTTTTCAGGGAATGATTCTCTACCATTTCAGAGGAAAAAATAATTTAATTTTCAACAGTATCAGCACTTTTATTTTTGGAGCTTCTGACTGTGAAGGGGTTAAGGTAGTGAAATTGATCATGGAAATACAGTGGTCCCTCGTTGTTCGTAATTAATCCGTTCCTGGAGCCGTTACTATAAATGAAATTTACGATTTACGAATCAATTTTCCCCATAAGAAATAATGTAAATACAATTAATCCGTTCCTGACACCCAGAAGTATTAAAACAAAAAAATTTTAACATGAAATATACATGTAGTACATAAACAATACAATGGGAAATGATGAATGAAACATTAACAGCATAACACTTACCTTTATTGGAGATTCTTCTTAGTGTATGGGAGACTGGAGGAGGAGAGAGAGTGGATTGTTTATAGTTTGGAAGGGGAATCCCTTCCATCAACACCTCAGGTACCATTTGCTTTTCTGGGTTGCTTCTCTTCTCTGTTTCTTAATGCCACTAGGACCACCTTGAGAGTCACTGGAGTCCTGTCTCACAAAATAACTGTGAGAGAGCTCGTTTTTTGGCTCTCTTTAACACTTCCCTAAAATGGCCCAAGAT